AATTAAGAATAATATTAAGACATTTGATTGCAATATAAAGTGTGCAATTGATGAAAACCATAAAAGGTATTTATTTAATCAATTGTGTTCCTGATAAGAATTGATAACTAATTACAAACATATAACAGTTATAACTTATAAGTATTAGTTACACAAATATCTTACAAAACAAATAGTCGGCAAAGTTTTGAGATAAAAGCTACACCGGTAATAGTTACGAAAATTGAATGAAAGTCTGATGCTTGATGTTTTATGTTTTAATGATTAAATATTTCAAATATTTACAATTATAACATTTTGTACATTCAAAATATTTATTTATGATATAATAAATGTAAAAATTTATACAAAACTTAATATTATTCAATTTATCACAATAATTTTGATAAGTATATTTAGTTTTAAAAACTTAATGTATATTTTTGTTATGAATATCTACCTACTGTATACTTTTAAACTACATTTGAATAATATTAATGATTGGTATAAGAAGCAATTGATTATAATTAAAATATACTATCGATACTTAAAACATTATAAATTTATTATAAATATTTCATAAAATAATATAACAATTAGTTATTTTAATATAATTTAAAATGAGAGTTAAGTTTGAAAAATTATTTTATACATTAAAAGTTATTTAAATTAAAATATAAATGATTAAATCATTCACAGACAGGCGTTAGAGCTGGGTAAATTTATTAATAATATGAGTTGTACTTTCATATAAATTATGGAGATTAGCACATGAATCAATTTTTATTTAAACCTAATAACGCCTGTATGTGAATGATTTAGTCATATATGTATTAATATTTATAAGTATTTAAAAATTACAATAAATTTGTTCTACAGTTAAGCCAAAAAATTATTAATTTGTTAACATTTTTTATAATGATTAAGTGAACAATTTTTTCAATAATATTTTATATTAATTGGGATATAATTTATGTACAAATAATATTTGTTAAATGTATTAACCGATTAGTATATAATGTGAAATCACAGATAGTTTCAGATATTGTACTCGGCGTCGGGCTCTTCCTTTTCCTCATAATTAATATTTTTGTTGGGAATCAGAAATGATATCAACGATGAGATTATTAGCATAATACCGGCGCACCAGAATAGGATCTGATACGAGTCCGTCATATCAAATATTACACCTAATTGTTGGTCATTTAAGATTTCATTAGATTTTTTTCGAACATCAGGAATCATATACTGTTAGGAATTATACAAAACCCATACATACCAGCAATGGGTGGCCCTAACATAGAGGCAACTCCTCTGAACAGACTGAGCAGACCGAAAGCGTTTGTCAATCTATCGATTCCTAGTAAGTCGACCAAGATTATTGATGTCAAGCAAAT